CGTTTCTTTATATTATACATATATATATACATATATATACATGCATATATGCAATTGTGTGTCTCCCTGTATATACCTGCTGACATAAGCCGACCGCATTATGTAATGTAAAAAGAAAAAAACCAATATGATCAGAAATAAAAAAATAGATCCGCTGAGACGAAAGAGAAATGAAAAAGACGAAATGTAAGTTGTCCATGTTGAGCAAGTTTAGCATATTGGTCCTCCACGCTACTCTCTCCCAACTGGCACGAATTCTAGTTGTACGTTAGCGTTTTTCTTTTTTTCTTTCTTTGCGATTTTCTCGTTTCTCTCACCTCTTTCTTTATCTCTTTCAATTCTCCCGTACGTCTGTGGCTGCCTCGTTGTTTAGCTCAGTAATATTTCAATTTATAGATCGACGTGTACCAACTTCTCTCTGGCTCTCTTTCTCTCTTTCTCTCTCTGTCTCTCTATACATACAAACACACATAATTCTATATGGCTATTTTCTTTTTTTCCCCTATCTATCCGCTACCTTTAATTTTGATTGCGAGCGCAGACACACGAACACAAAACTCGTCCTGAGTGATGCACAAATGCCAAACGTCCGAGCGCATTGTTCGCGATGTTGTCGCGATTGCGATCGATCGACCCTATATATATTGACGGGGTAGAAAAATAATTTTTCGGTCATCTGTCACATCTTTTCACGTGGCGGGCTTACGAATTGTCGTCGATGCTGCTGCAATCCCTGTCAGCTGCAGTCTTATCGATATGCAATGCGATGGGCAAATATAAATAAATACAAACGGGCATTCAATAACTCTGTTAGTTTTTATCGTTTTGCATTTTGGGGTTTTGGAGTTGCAAGCATTTTCGCTCAATATTCGACGACCGGCTATACAAGTTGATGAACAGAGCTGATAATTTTTAACGGTAATCTTTAGCGTCCGGTTTGCTCGGATAGAAACGCGGGGCGTTTGGTTGTTGTCACATTGTCGCTTTCCCTAGTATATACGCGAGACATGTGCGAGTGCGGATTTAATGGATTGTACTTTTGTCGACCGTACATCGGATAAATGTTTCTGGAGAGAAGAGACGGACGGTATCGCATAACATTGGTTGCTATACTTGGGAAGTGCGAGTTTTGGAAACAATTGTAATAGATTGACATTGTACATCAACGCTTGTCGCAACGACATTTCTTCGGCTTCGACAGAACCCACCCCCTGTGTGCACGTGTAATTATAGCATAGATGGTAGCCAACATAGGGAAGATGCTTGACAAAGATTGAAAAGAGAATAATAAATATATGTATACAGTAGTTACAGGCGATGATTAATTTTAACATCTTTGATTATCCGTTTTTAATATATTACGAAAAGCTATATATGAATAATTGGTAATTTATAATGTGCGGCATAAAAAACAGATCAATTTCCTAAGAGGAGAATTGTTTAAATATATCTGTCATATAATTTTTATCAATTATAATTCCAGCGATGATTATTAAGTGGCGAAAAAAAAACTTGCTTGCGATGATTTTAATATATGAAACTATTATATGGAGAGATAATGGAGATAGAAAACTTGATGGTTAGATTACTTTTGCCGGGTTCTCTTTCCAGAATCTTATCTCGGCATCTTCATTAAAATTCATTTTTCACTTTTTACTTTAAATCGGGATAAAAAGATTCTCTCACCCCGGATTTCGTCTGCAATGACTTCTCTGCCTCCATTACTTAGACCGCACCTGTTAGCAAAGAGATTGTCCTTAAAAATAATCTCCAAGTATATGTAATTTTGACTTTTTTCTTTCCTATTATTATTTTATTATTAATTATCTCTTCATGTTGTATTATATTTTCATTTCTCTCTCTCATTCTAATTTATATACTTGAAAAAGTATTTTACAATGATTATACACATATACATATAAATTTACAAAATATATATTACTAATATATTATATTAATTATAATATATATCCATAAGCTTTTTAATAAGTACTAAAAATTTTATTTTAACAATAGACTTTTGATTTATTTGTTGTTAGTTCTAATCTTGTATTTTATTTGCAAAATTAGAGTTAAATTTTTTGTGTAATATTTTGAAAAATTTGAAGCTTTATTTATAAATTTATTAAATAATTTTAAGCTTAAAACATATTATATATTTTAGATTAGCGTTTTTATCATACATATTATTTTATTTAAGAAATTACATATTAATATGCCATGTTAAAATCTAATTCCGAGATCAGCATAGCATTCGGAAGTTTCTCCATAGAATTATCACATGATATCGAATTTCAGTTTCAGTTCCAAAATTAGGATATGAGATTCATACCCATATCCCAAATTCATATCCTATTTCATAGTTAACAGTAATATCAATTGGTTTCCGTTTTCATAAACAAAACAACAGTACGATCAATTTACTGATGAACGACGAGATTTAAACGAGTTTTTATTCAGAGAATGCAAGAGCATACAATAAAGTTGTTTTGATTATTGAAATAATAGAATTACGGATAACAATTTTATGACAAATATACCATTCTTAATGTACATGTCATAATGTGATTTATTGCAGCCGAAGAACCGCGTTGCGATAAACACATGTTTTTGCTTGCTCATAGAAAGAAACTTTTTTATTCAAGTAAATATGTATGTGAATATGTGGCAAACAGCATACAGTTCGAGAAAACCGTACGTGAAAAAAGGGTAATGGACATTTTAATTATGTTTTCGCGATTATATAAAAGTTTGGACGATCTGGAAAGGCACGCGAGATTATAATTGCAGAGAAGACGTGTGAAGGATATGGTGGAAACAAATCGGCAAAAAGAGAATATATAAATTGTTGATTGCGTATAGCAAAACAAATTGAGATGAATGAGAATTAACGAAGACCTGTTTAAACGAACGTTTTTCTTGACTGTACTGCACGTTTAGGGTTGTAGTCCAATAATACATTTACATTAAATACATTTATAAGAAATAAAAAAATATGGAAAAAATTTATTATGTATTATACAGGGTGTTCCAAGAAAAAAGGTCAATATTCTGGGAAGTAACCGTATCGGTCATTTTAAGCAAAAATGTTCATATGAATATATGTCCTATCCCCCATGGTTTCCGAGATAGAGCGACTTGAATGTACAGTTACAAAATTACTGACAAGAAAGAAATACTACGTACTATTTCTAATATTTATTGTTCAAGTGATACATTTTTTACAGATTATAATAAATTTTCAAAAATTCCACCGTTAACATTAATGCAGTTTTAAACTTTTGTGTGAACATGGCGTGTTGCTCGCCTGAGTACATCGTGACGTTCCTTTATGCGGGCACTAGCATCCATTATTTGAGCGAGCAGTTCGTCTCGTGTATTCACTTTTCTTCTGTACACTTCACTTGTTTATGGGGTTGGATGAAGGTTGAAGTGTACAGAAGAAAAGTGAATACACGAGACGTACATTCAAGTCGCACTATCTCAGAAACCGTGGTGAATAGGACATATATTCATATGAACATTTTTGCTTAAAATGACCGATACGATCATCTCCCACAATATTGACCTTTTCTCCTGGAACACCCTGTATATAATATTTAACAGCAATATATTAAGATTCAAGATATGATTGCAAAAATATCAAAGTAAGATAAATTTTATAATTAATATATATTGCTTTCTGTTGTCTCTTTAGTAAAAAGATAATTCTGATGTAATTTAAAATAAATTTACAAAAATATAAAAATACAAAAATTTATAAATATAAAAGTTAAAATATTCCAGTCTGGAATATTAGACTAAAGAATTTGAAAAGCTTTGTATGTGTTTTTGGAATATCAAAATCTCAAAATTGTAATCATGGATTTTTAAATTTTAATTATCTTTTTATTTTTAGACCATCTTATCGATCTGCGACTAATTAGCATAAAAGGGTTAAGAAAAATTTAATTAATAGCCTTTTCAGAACCAATACTTTTTCTAGGACTACACACACACACACACACACACACACACACACACACACACACACACACACACACACACACACACACACACACACACACACACACACACACACACACACACACACACACACACACACACACACACACACACACACACACACACACACACACACACACACACACACACACACACACACACACACACACACACACACACACACACACACACACACACACACACACACACACACACACACACACACACACACACACACACACACACACACACACACACACACACACACACACACACACACACACACACACACACACACACACACACACACACACACACACACACACACACACGCACACGCACACGCACACGCACACGCACGCACGCACGCACACACACATTTATAGTTGCTATGCTGTATGGTCTGTGATACGGAATGGGTTTTGACACGAATAAAACTAAACCTCGAGGACTGTTCTTAGTTTGCTCATCCTCATCTTCGTTTTATCTCTTACAAAACTCCACCTTGAAACCGTTTTTGCATGCAAAATTAACTTTGCTTCCAGCTTCTCATGACAACCATAAGTGGGCACGAAAGTTCCATTTAAAAAATTCTTCAAAATGTTCTGTAAGATTTGGGTACTTTAAATGAAGTATTTTTATTGCTATTATTTTCGTAAACTGTGTGGTAATTGATGAATATAATTTAATAACACTATTTCCAATGTATCTAAAAATTATTAATTCTTTTCAAAATTATATTATTTCTTTGAATTTTTATTCAAAATTAAAATTAATAATTTTAAAAATTTTAATATTTATGATGTGTTCAAAACTATCTTTGACAATTTTGTAATATCAGTTTTATCGTTACTTGCTTTAACAATTTTTTGTAAATTTTATCTAAGTTATTCAAAAAGCTAGGAACATTCGTTACCACCCGCAGGTTCACAGATCTTTAACCTTCTTAGATCTTGACATATCGGAGATGTTAATTCTGGTTTCCTGTATTTTAGGAGCAAATAGCAAAAGAGAGGCAGGTGACTGGTCGCATACAAATCCAGGTTTCGTACGAGACAGAACGCAAAGAATTGGTCGTTTCAGTTTTTATGGCCGACGACTTATGTGCCCGGGAAGACACTGGATTCGGTACCTTGCCGGAGGCTTTCGCCAAACTCGTTCTTGCTCCGCCATGGTAAGTCACCTTGTAAATTTTCGGATTGGATATGTCCAATACATATTTTTGGGCTCTCACGAATATGATTCCCAATCGCATAAAATTTGTATTATGTATAAAAGCAAAGTAAGAATCATATACATAAATTTAATATACTCAAGTATATAAGAAATAATATAACATTGAAATATACAATGTTGAATAACATTTACGAGGTTTCACTTAAATAATTAAATAATTTTTTTTATAACTACTTTATTATAACTATCTTTTAATTAAAGCTTGTCGCAAAGAGAGACTTAACTTCTTCTTTTTAATTTATTTTAATTATTTAATGTTTCTCGACGCTCCAAATGAGAGATTGATTAATTATTTGTGACCTTCACACAGCGGCGATGCAACTCCGCTGAAGACTATCGTGGCCGAGCCGACCCAGAAACCTATTTGGAACGCTACATTGTTCTTTACCGGAGTTGATGGTGAGAGCCTGATGGAACGTGCGATCGAGGTGACTCTCTGGGATTACTGTCCTGATGGTGATAATGTGTTCCTCGGTGAATGCACTGTCGATGTTCAGCGAGCGCTTGAAAATGATCGAGCGGTTTGGTAAGTGCATCTTTCAAAGAATGAAGATTGGAGAACCCTTAATATTGGGTGGCATAAAATTGTTAAAACGTAGCCTGTGAATGATTTCCACGGTACAGTGATCTGTGAACTATCAAAATCTATGCTCTATAACAATAACAACAATAACAACAATAACAACGGTAACAACGATAACAACGATAACAACGATAACAACGATAACAACGATAACAACGATAACAGCGATAACAACAATAGCAATAATAACAACAATGATAACAATGACAACAACAACAACAACAACAACAACAACAATAACAACAATAACAACAATAACAACAATAACAACAATAACAACAATAACAACAATAACAACAATAACAACAATAACAACAATAACAACAATAACAACAATAACAACAATAACAACAATAACAACAATAACAACAATAACAACAATAACAACAATAACAACAATAACAACAATAACAACAATAATATTTAAAAAGATATAATAATTATATTCGAGTAAAATTATAATATCTTTTTAAATACCTTTTAAATATTATATAATTTTTTTACATTCTTTAAAAATGTGTTAAAAATATAAGTAATATTAATGTATAAAATCATTAGTTTTACAAAGTCTAAATAATAAAAAAAATAATATTTGAAATGTTATCAACGTAATTGCTTGTAAATCACAGACGGCAATAAAAAGGAAGAAAAAGAGTATAAGCATGTTCGCAAATAGTTTAAATTAATTAATTAAATTGTTAATTAACATATAAATTATCGAGTTTATGTGTCGCAGTGTCGTGATTTATGAAATGTCTAGGTATCGATTGGAGGATCCGCGCGGACTTCGAACAGGCAAATCGCCGTACTGCTCGCCACGCGGTTCGCTATCGATGGACATCGCCCAACGATTGCTGAGGAAGGAGCTGCGGGATCGTAGCTACAGCGACGACACGCAGAGCGACAGCGGAAGTCCAGAGTTCTGCTTCCTACATCCGGATCACGCCTGGCATGCCAATTCCAGACGCGGTTCCAGCCAGTCCGAACAGCTCGAGATCGAGCCTTACGAGCTCAACCGGGATTACAGCAGATCTCTGCCGGGTAGCCGCAGAAGCAGCTTCCAAAGTCAGGGCGGCACTGATAGCAAACGTGAGTATCACGGAAAACGTTCGACACGCGACCCATTTTCCCTCCAGCGGGAATACACTGACGTGTCAGTACCCATACAGCACAGATCATTGCGATTATATTGCAGCAACATTGCAATGTTGCAAATTGGACAACAACAACAACAACAACAACAACAATAACAACAATAACAACAATAACAACAATAACAACAATAACGACAATAACGACAATAACAACGACAATAACGACAATAACGACGATAACGACGATAACGACAATAACGACAATAACAATAATAACAATAACAACAATAACAACAATAACGACATATAATGAGGATGATAATGATGATAATGATGATGATAATAATAATGATAATACCAATTATTATTATTATTATCATTATTATTATCATAATAATAATAATAATAATTATTATTATTATTATTATTCGTCTCTTTGTTCTTTGATCCCTGTTTTAAAGCAATTATGAAGACTGAAATTACCTTTCGCAACCTGATAGACACACTTACTAAAGCCAAAGATATGAACATTGTGGACTTCTTAGCAGGAGAACTACAGTATGTCTGGGAAGGAGCAAATGTATTGCGGTGAAAGATTGCTACAATATGTATGCAATCTTTGTGTGCTGTATGGGTAAGAGGATCTTTCTCATATAAATTTCATTGGTCTCGCGATCAAGAGAAATTACATCTCTCCTTAATTATGAGAGCATTTAATAGTATAATAGAATAAATAAAAAAATGGAATATTAATTAAACGAATAATGTCTTGAATAACAACACACAGTTTTATTCACCTTAAGAGATTAAGAATTTATATTATTAATTAACAATTTATATTATTATATAGTTTATGGTTTATATACAACGATAACGAGTTACTTTTTAAAATCGGTAACGAGTAACGGTAATGAGTTACTTTTCAGAGAAAGTAACGGTAACGGTAACAAGTTACTTTTCAGAGAAAGTAACGGTAACGGTAACGAGTTACTTTTATAAAGTAACGTTCCCAACTCTGTATCTAAATTGACATTACGAATTGACATACTTGACCCAATAAATTGTGTCCCGCTTTCTGCTGTAAACTGGCTTTCATCCTTAAGCAACCACACCCTTCTTCTGCTTCTTTTCAAAGATGATAATGACATAGTGGCTAGCCAATGGCGATACTATTGTTCGGTATCTCTGAGTGCTTGTTGAAAATACTTAAATAACAGCTTTTTAGATTATCACTATTCGATTACGTTGTTTCAGCAAAAAGCTCGCATAAAACGTTATAAACAGCAAAAATGCACCGCAAAGTATTGTAAAAATTAGCGAGCGTTAAAATAACAGTAGAGAGAAAAACGAATAGATATAATAATATATAGATAGAAATAATATTTCTTTTTTAATAAAGATCATAAACGTGTGGGCTTTTAAAATTAAACATCTTTTTATTAATTAGAGAGTTAGGTTTTAATTTGCGAATCAGGGGAATGAGATATCACTTTTTCTTCCCGATATCATTCTGATATAACATTCTCATAATTGTTTCTAATCACATCTGATTGAATTTATTTTGTAGGTGGAAGCATGGGCGAAGCCGATCTGCCCGCCATAGTGCATTATAATCGTGATCGGCGGCGTAGCTCATTCACGAGACCGATGAGGGATCCCGAAGAGATACTGGAGGGATTACGAACATTGAAGGCGGCCAAGGGTGAGCTCAACAGGACCATGAGCCTTACCGGCGACAAGAGACGCGGGAGCCGTGAGTATAAACGTTTTCTTGCTTTCTTTTGGCCATCACTTCGCTCGTTCGTTCGTCCGTCGTCCGTCTGTTTGTCTATCTTTGTACCTCTTCATTCGCTCGTCACAATCCCCACGATCATTTTACTGCATTTTGTGACACTCTTGTTCTCCTTTTTGTCACTGTTATTGTTGTTCGTTTCTCGTCGGCCTATCGTCGTCAATATCACACTCTACTCTGACTAACATCAAGTGTCATTGATGAACGTCTATCATATTATGCATATCATCCATCTAAATGTATATAAGTATGTGTGTGAGTGTGTATGTGTGTGTATATGTGCGCGCATATTGTTTGTATTATATTTATGCATCGTCTCATGTGTGACCGTCTAATCGTTTGCTGAATCGTTTAATATTTGTTGCATTAAACGAATCATCTGTCTGTTTTCCCTTCTCTCTTTTCCTCTATTTTCTATATTAGTGTTGCTTTTTCTTCCTATTTTTTAACTTCGATTTTTATAAAACAATTTTGTACATATAAACTTCAGCAATTTTTATAATCACAATCTCACGATTTTTGAAATATAGTTTCTTCTTTTATTCTCTCAATTAAGAAACAGATAGTAGAAAATTATAAATTTTTATAAAATTTTGTAATATAGATATTTTTCATATGTAAGAGATCTCATTTACATAAATCTATAGAAATGATTAATTATAACTTATATAAATGTAAATTTTTGGGCGGTAAAAGCACTATGTTAGATAAGATTTTAAAAACTTCTAAATTTTATTTTTTTAAGCCTATATTTTACTATGTTGTTTATTATATAATACAAAAAAAGCAAGTCACTCTTTCGCAAAATTTGTTACGATAATATAATTTTTCTGCCATAAAGAGATGTCTCTAAAATTTCATCGATTTTTTAATTATTATATACAGTCGAGAATCAATCAATCTATTCTGCATTTATTTTTATTCACAATTCTATTTTGTAATTGTTCTTCAAAACATATTAAATATATAATCTGCATCTATATGTTTAGGTATCCCTTGTTCCATTTTATAAAGTTTTTCTATATTCTTATTTTCGGATGCAATTACTATCTGTCTCGCACTATCACGTCCTGTCGATCCTACGTGGTTTGACCGAGCGAACATTGTTAACACGCGGAGAAATTTCTCCTTCATTTGCAAAAAATCTTTCATTTACGTTTATCAATTTATGATATCTGACGGAACAGCCCGACCTAGAAAGGACCTCGTTATGACGTCGGGAATTCGGGATCAGATTGATTTCAGATTTGTGTCTAGTGTCGACCATGACGATGACCGCTTTCGAAATTTGCTTTCTGTTTTGTGTCTTCAATTGCGCCGTTGTTTTATCGTTCATACGCTTAATGTTCGATTTGGCGTCTGTTTCCTTGATTACATTGTAAATATTCAACGAGCCAACAATAATCGGCATATTTATTTGCCGAACTGCGAGGAACTGATCAACGTTGATTTCGAAATGGAATCAAGCCGGAATCGAAGTAGAAGCGTTTCATCCATCACCATTAATGGGTCCATCTGGAGTCTAGCAAAATGATTCATTGTGCTAACTTCTACTTGCTCGTCAATCATCATTCGCTGTTACATCACTCGAAGAGTCATCGTCTCGGTCGAGCTGATATGGTCTTACCGAGCATCTAAATCGCCACATTCATTCCACGCCTTCGTGCCTATCTCTCGCTTCGGCTTGTGTCCTACGGATGGAAATCAATGTTTTTTCTTCATTCCAGCCAAGCAAAAGTTAACGCGATTTGTGCTCTCCGCTCCTCTGTACTACAATTTTGTTGCGCGCCGCTGTTCTGCCTGTTGTTGACTGCTTCGTATATCGCCTTACAGCCTGACGACTCGAAAATGCCGAAAATCCTTTCTCTCGCAGTGCTTCGGGCTTTTACAAGAAGTGGAAGAATGAACATTATCGCCAGCACCACCAACGTAATCGGGACAACGAAAGACACAATATGCTATTGCGCTCCTGTGCTGTTGCACGCACGTTGTATGATTCTAGCGCCGTGGCATTTTGTCCTTTGTTTCTCTTTCTTTTCCTGTCTGCTCTTACGTTGTTCAGCTTCTCATCCACTTCTCCAAGTGTTGTTTGCCTCATTGACACCAGGCGTGCCAAACTGTCATAATAGTGATGCGCTGCTGATCGTTCTGTCAACAAGATTATCGTTTCTTCATCGTTCAGGATTAACGGTTGCTTTAGCTGGCGGCTTCCGGCACGTGCTGAACGCACGGGGTGGATTGTGATAATATACGTGAATGATTTTTTGTGGGCATTCAAAAAATAGATGGTAAAAAAATGGATATATATTTAAAATATATGACAAAATTTTCGTGCTAATAGAATTTACCTAATTGAAATAGCAACATTTTTGCAAAATAAAAAGTTGAAAACGAAATAAAATATTAACTCCATCAGAAGGAATAAACACGAGATTACCGTCATTTTTATCTGTTGGCATGATAACGAAGACTAGGAGTAGATTTGCATTATGAGAAAGTAGGCTGCAAATCACATGAAAAATGAGCTTGGCTGACTAGGGAATGTACGGCTCATTTTCTCGCTCTCTTTCTTTTTCTTTTCTGCTTTTGTTTAAACTATCTCACGACATCCACCTCGTCGAGTCGCCGCGTCCGAAGAGATTATCAAGCGTCTTGGCGCTACCAAAGAATCGCAATCATCTAATCAGTTTTTGTCGCCCCATTCTCCGCGAGTTATTGACATCTGTGTGCATTTTTGTTCGAATAAGTGCAGTGCCTCGAGCTTGGCGTGCACTTTGAACTTGAACGCCTTACTGTATTGTTGATTATCTTGATATCCCTTCTCGGTCGGCATCGTCCGCCCAATGCCAAAACTCTGAATGCTCTTCGTACTCGACTCGAATTACGAAACACTCGGTTCGCTCGGTCGAAACGCCATCGGCCATCGTCACAACCCCGATTATCGACGACAAATCGTGGGCCACGCACGCACGACCAACCAACCAACCGACCAACCAACCAACCGACCAACCAACCAACCAACCAACCAACCAACCAATCAACCAACCAACCAACCAACCAACCAACCAAACAACCACCATCGACCACCAACAACGACAACAGAGTGCGTAGTCCCAACAGTTACTGTGTGGCAGTGCGAGCCTGTGTCTCCGAGGACCGGTAAATCGGCCTCCTTCCCACTGCCGCACTCCATACCACCTCGATAAATAACTGCAGGGCACTATCAACCAACATTACGGGCTTCCGGTAAGACACGCTCTTTCTCTGTCGTGCCAATTTCCGTCTATCTGTACTGTGTATACCTTGAGCAGGATCTCGCTTCCAATTTCTAATTCCCTTAGTTTGCCTTTTTTAACAACAGCGTCGTTATTCCGTAGCGGAGAGAAAATAGGAGTAGGTTTATTGATATGCACACAAAGTTATTAATATTCACGGACATTCGATAATGGATATAAACAAATCGAGAAATAGAATCTGAAAATTCCTATTTATGTTCCAAAACTTTCAGATTGCGTTTTCAAATTTGATACAATTATTTTTAATACTACAGATTTTTTCTTTTCAAAATTTTTTTTACTCGAAATATGCAGAAAATAAAAAGATTTGTATATCAAGATAATAATTCTACTGATAATGTCTTGTGAGAAAAGAGATACAATAAATTTTTCATATATATTTTCGATAAAAAATCTACAATAATATAATAATATATATCAGATATATAATTATTCTGATAATTTTATTCAAAACGCGTTTCTTTAAGTGTTTTATGATTATTTCTAAATATTTTAGTAATATGAATTTTATAATTGAAATAGAAAAGATATATCCTCTGGATAGAAATTTTTATACAGCAAGAGCAAATATTTTTTTTAATCAGTTCATGAATAACAAACTCGTCTATCTACCTTACGCCCACGTATATTAAACTATTTTTGAATTATTTTGTTTTTCTTTGCAGTTTCTTTCTATTTTTATTTACTTCCTTGTTGTTTTCCTTGCTCTTTTCTCTTTCTCTGTAATTCTTATTAATCAATGACGTAGACAAGGTACTTAAAAAAAAGAGATCGAAATGATAGCAATGTATTTTTTTTTATATAGAGAAAATGCCGTCTCTGTAATATATCCCGCGTGTCTCGGTATTTTATTTTTACGCTATTACTTTTTCTATGTTCAATTCTCTCTTTTTGCGCACACGTGCTGTTAATTTGTCTTCTCTCCCCGATAGGCCACATTATATTTTTCAGAGATGCACGCAATGTCATTTATCATAAAACGAAGAGAAAATTAAATCCAGTCGTGAGACCTCTTTCTTTTCGCACGCGCATTTTTCTTTTCGTAATTCCATCGTGATATAATTTTTTACAGCGAGATTAATTATACTTCTGTTGGTGTTTTAACTTCTCGAATATATCATTAAATACCTGCTTTGTTGGTTGTACCTCACTTCGTTCTCTACTTCTATTTATTAATCCATTTAATCTTTCTAAACGTCAAGAGCTTAATCATGTAATATTTTGTCCTTTTCTAATTAACTCATTCATTTTTTTTCTCCTTTCTCTTAAGATTATATCTTTCATGAATTTGAACGAGACAATTGTTTAAAAGTTAATATATACAATGTTTTTGTTCAAATTGCTTTTAATCGCGCAACATTATTATTCAAAACTTATTATAACTGTCAAAAGTTTTAAAGGATCTTCCTAGTTTGACACTCTGAAAATAAGGCGATTTTTGGCAAATTTTTTTAAAGAAAAATATTAAATATTAATTCTAAATTTTGCACGTTTATTAAATAACATTTTAAATATATCCTGAATTTTTTTCAAACAAAAATGCTTGTTTGTTTCGGAGTTACAGTAGTCCAACCAAGGGGTCTCAAAAAAAAATTGTTGTTCGTGGCAAACATGATTCCAGCCGTTATAGTCATCTGAAATAAAAAAACCAAAAAGATTCTTAATCTGTATAAGTGTGGCTATCGTGTGAACTAGAATTAAATAGATATTTGCAAAATTCTAATTTTGCGACTTACAAAACTAATCAATTTTTTGGTGAAAAATAAAATTTTTCTTTGAGACGCTGCCATTTTTTTATTTTTCAATATTCTTTTTTATTCTAGCTCACGTGATAGTCACACTCACACAGATTAAGAATCTTTTTCGTTTTTTTATTTCAGATGACTATAACGGCTGGAATCATATTCGGCACGAATAAAAAATTTTTTTGAGGCACCTTGGTTGGACTACTATAACCCCGAAACAAACAAATATTTTTGTTTGAAAAAAATTCAGGATATACTTGAAATGTTATTTAATAAACGTGCAAAGTTTAGAATTAATATGTTTTATACCTTTCTTTAAAAAAAAATCCCAAAAATCGCTTTATTTTCAGAGTGTCAAACTAGGAAGACCCCTTAATGCAACAAATTTAGTTTAAAAACTAAATTTAGTAGAATAATTGTAACTGTATTAATATATTCTAATATTCTTGCAGGAATATATATTTACGTAGGTCAATCAAATATAAACGAGACTTTTCGAATAGGAGCAAGATATCTTAACGCTCGTTATTGTGACGATAGTGGGCTGTTGGTAGACGTGTCTAGATCCGCTCTAAGCTGCGCGTTTGGTTTTACAATCGTTTATTTAAGCACGATGAATAAACAAGATGCCTGTTTTGATTGCGCAACGTATAATTATTAAATTTTTAACGCGCGAACATGTTAAACTGCTGAAATTTTGTGAGATTACGCGTACAGTTCAGTAAGAACACATTATCGAAGTCCCAAGTATGCAAATGGCATCAATTTTTTTGTCGGTATTTTGAAGATCGTGAAAAAATTGCAAATTTGACTCATGCGCGTTGACCAAACACGAGCATTAAGAAGAGCCAAAGAACATTCAACAAATTGACGATCTTATTAAAGACGACCGATAAATAATTGTTTGTGAAATTAGTAAGTACCTAGTAAGAACCTAGTAAAGGGACTGATATAAGTTATGGACATGTACAAACAATCGGAGAATGAGTTACGATTTCGAAAAATCACTGCACAAAGCAAGCCACGAATTTTGAATGCAGATCAGAAGGCCGTTAGGGTTGAAATCTCTCAGAGGCTTTTGGATCGCCATGCAGTAGAAGGAGACGCATTTTTGATGCGCATTCTCACATATGATGGATTTGTTTGGACCTCTTAAAGAAGTCTTATGGGGAAAAAGGTTTTCCAAACAACGACGAGGTGAAAGACTTCGTGCGCAATTGGCTTCGTACTCATCCTACCTACTACTTTT